TTCAAAGGGAGGGCAGCTCCAGTTCTTTGGATCAAGAATCCTTGGGCAGCATCAAGGTACCCCACCTTAAAGGAAGACCAGCAGAGGAACGTGTAGAGCAACAGATGTGAGTGGAGGATAAAAAGGTCACTTTATGGCCAGACTCTTGTATTCACGACGCGACTATAACAGCTGCTCCCCAGAGAGTTGTATTACTCCTTTCCTGCCACCTTCCTTGAGATATTGAGGTGTTTCTGCTTTCTGTTTGGAGGACTGAGGTCTTTCTTGTTTCTTCAAGTGCTTCTCCTTCCTTTGTGGAGGATTGAAGTACTTTTGAGGTTCTCTTCTTTTCTTCAAGGAGGATTGAGTTCTTTTGGTTCCTTGGAGGATTATGATCTTTCTGCTTCCTTCTTGGAAGATTGATGACTTTGTTTTTACCTCAGAGAAGGATTAAAGTAATTTTTATTTAATTTTATTCCCTAGAGGGATGAAAGTTTTCTTTTTCTTCATTGGAGGACTAAAGTAATTTTTTGCTCTCCATGGTAAGTTAATTTACCTGCTTCCTGCTAGTCCTAGAGTGGGACCTCCGTCATGGAGGGTTTTCTTTGACTTTACCTGGGGTCACTTCCGGTGGTCACCAACCCTTGCGGCCCGATCTCAGACCAAGCCTCCTGGCTGGTGGCCTGGTCGGTCATGCTGTTTGTCAGCCGCCTTCAGTCCAATTCCAACCCGGCTGATCAGGAATAGTTTTGAGGAAATTGTCAAGTTCCCTCTCGAAGACAGCTAGGGGTTTGTTGGTAATCTCCCTTAAGCATGACGGGAGGGTGTCTAGTCGTGGTCCCTCAAGTGTACCTCAGTGCTCTCAGAGTGCTCATCGCTCCCCTGCTTTCAGTTGAGGTATCCAGCACCCTCTGCCAAGCCTCTTGTATTCATAAGTACTCATTTCGGGAGTAATCTCTCCAATACCTTTCAGGTTTAAATTATGATTCATCTTGTGGTACTGTTCTGACCTTCAGGGGTGCTACCCTGTCTTTTGAAGTCATTAGTGTACTTCCTTCTGAGTCCCTCAGGGGCCTGAACGGGGCTGAGAGGGCTGAAATCCCCTTTATGGATAATTTTTTTTCACACCTTTCTCACCTACATTTAAGGAGGTTAAGTTCTAGGGATTTCAAGCTCTCTCAGCAATTTAAATTCTTAACCGAGTTAATACAAGCTGTGAAGGATTTCTGTACATTGTCCAGCTTTTCAATTCCCTTGCCTTGAATGCGAAAAGTTTTACATTGGTCAGCCAGGTTTCAATCTTTTAATTAATTTTCAAACATTTTCCATTTGGAGAAGTTTAATTCTGCATCTTCTTTTATTGCCCAAAACGTCTTTTGCTGTTTCAATCTCCACATGTTTATTTATATCTTTATTTACTTTGAGGCTTACGTTGGTAGATAATGTTAATTTGTCTTTTCTTTTCCTAAAAACACTGGATATTCAATATATAATATCTCAGAAATTTCCTTCTCTGAATTAACAATTACGTAGTTTACCTTACTTGTTAATATTCTGTTTTTATTTTCCCCATTAATATTATTTTGCAAAATTTTCAAAAGAGTTTTGTCCTGATTCGAGTTACATTATTTTTCAAATTAATTTCTGAGCTCCTTATATAGGTATAGTAATTTACAGCTCGTCAGGTTTATTAACTTCTGGGTCTCGGAGAGTTGTGCATTGCTTCCAGTTTTTTCTTTCCCTTTTTTTCATGTTTTTTTTTCTAGTCCCGTTGGTGAACCAGTTGCATTTGTTTCATCTGCAATGCATTTTGGAAACTTGTTTGAGTCTGTTTTACATATACGTTGCGGAACAATTTTTATATTTTGCTTATATCTCTCCCTCACAGAATTGTTTTCCTAAAATACTGGTTTAGGTCCGGAAACTTTCCTACTTTTTCTTTTGTAATATAAAAATGTGTGTGTGTGTGTGTGTGTGTGTGTGTGTGTGTGTGTGGGTGTGTGTGTGTGTGTGTGTGTAGGTCACCTATTTGTGGTTGTAGGGTTCGAGTCTCGGCTTTTGGTCCCGCCTCTCCGCTGGATGCTACTAGATCACTCACTGCTCTAAGAGCCTTGTCCTACCTCTCCTTAAAGCTGTGTGTATGTAATAACACTTTTCAATAATTTTAAGAAATCTCTTCAAAAAGATCATAAAATGAACATTTGATACTCTGGGATCTTCCTCAGTACATTATTTTTACGTTAAGTGGTATCCCAATTCTTTTACTTTTATTTTAAAATGTGGGATACAAAACTATTGTATTTTGTCCAGTATTTCTTGTATCTCCAGTTTGTTCTTTGCAACACAAGTGTTTATTTCAAGTGGATAAAAAATATGTTATTTTTTTAATTTCTTTTGAAGTCAATACTAAATTTGGTTTTGATAAGTGTCTAATTGTTTCACTCTAGTTATTTTTTTTTTTTTTTTGATGAGGTGATGCATATTGAAAAATTTAATTTTGTGCTCACCCTCACAGGAGGAAATAGTAAGAGAGAAAGATAAATCGAGGCGATTTGGGGATCTTTATTGATGTATCTTTTCGCCACACAGTGGCTTCATCAGTCCATACAAAGGAGAATGACGAAGAGCAGGAGTAGTTTGAGGTAATCAGTCCCTCAGCCTTGAGTCTATGTAATCAGTCCATCAATCTTGAAAAGAATACAGCATATACACGAAAAAGTTGCTTATACACTGTAGACAGGTGAGGTGAAGCAGTCGTAGGTGGTATCACATTTGACAAATCCAAATGCCTCACCTGCCGACAGTATATAAGCAACTTCTTCGTGTATATACTGTATTCTTTTCGAGTTTGATGGACTGATTACATAGACTCAAGGCTGAGGGACTGATTACCTCAAACTACTAATGTTCTTCAATTAAGATACCCAAGTGTTGCACATATGTCTAATTCATCAACTTGTCGGTTCTCCGAACCATTTATCTACTTAAATCGCGGCACAAAGTAGCAAGAGATACAGAAGAATGAAAAGTGTAAGACTGAGGATAAAATATAAAGAAATGTGAAAAGGGGATGAAGGAATAGGAGATGTAAGAGCGAGATAAAGTATAAGATAGATAAATGTAAAGGAGATGCAAAAATGAGAAAGGTAGAAGAGTAACAATACAACAAAGAAACAAATGCATGAAAACGCAATTTCTCTAAAGGCTCATTTATTGTATTCATAAATTCTGCTACACACATGCACAAGAAACACGCTTTCCCCAACACACTCCAACAATTTTACTCCAACATACCTGCAACACACCTTCAACACATCTCCAAAACAAAAAGATAATCACTGGTAGGTAACCACCAGCTCCAGCATACTCCAAATTTATTTACCCTGGGACACCCTAACTCACCTGTATATTGGAAGTCCCGTAGCGCCACTGTAGAAGAGAACGAGGATGGGGGAGTCTCCTAATGTAGGGGAGTAACGTTACAGGGCAGCTGGGTTCGACCCCCCTCTATAGCGAAGACTTCTGTCAAAGGACCTGTCGGGAAATAATAAGAGTTTAAATATAAATGCTTTCAGATTATCCAGGATTTAAAAGGCATCTTTAATCTCTATACTGATATTAGGGCTTCTAACATTTGACTCTCAAATTTGTGTCTTTGTAGTCAGGTTTCCTATGGAAAATGGGATTGAATATATAATTGTTGTGGCTGTTGAGGGATAGCAGTTATTGCCGACAAGTGCAGTAGAAAGACTTGCAAAATAATGTTTCTTTCATGGTAGAACTTGATTAAGCTCTGCAATGAGCGAAACGTTGATTTTCAAAATGCTTTTCCCCTGCCCCAAATGCCTTTGCATTCTTTGTCAGTAACAATGGTAATGATAACTTAATTTTCGCAATGAAACTCGGCAACATAGGAAGGATACGTACCCAGTTATGTCTTCAGCTTTGCCTTAAAGATGGATCTTTAGACCGGTGAAGGGCTCTAGATTCAAGGAAGTAAAGCTGACCTCTGCAGGTTTAGTATTTCCCCATTAATATAATTACAACCGTTTTCAACAGGTCAAGGCACTGGCTTGAGCCGGTGGGAGAATTGGACCTGCCTCGCATAGGCCAGTAGGCCTGTTGCAGTGTTCCTTCTTTATGTTCAACAATTATAATAAATACACTTGCTTGGAATGTATGCTTAATATTTTATAAGTATATTTCTTAATTGTCTGCAAATCTTTCGTGTTTGCATGCCATCTGCAGTAACATTTGGCTGAGAATTATTTTTTTTTTTACACATGCTAATATATCTGCCACAAAAAAACGAAATCTACAACATCACACCTGACCCCCCATTACCCTGGTTGACTCTCATTCCCCAAAAATCACTTACCTCACCCAAACTCAAACACCTACAAGCAACCACAACTGGAAAGTCCCGCAACCTTTGAGAAACATCTTTCTAATTTTCAATAATGCAGCATCATATATATATATATATATATATATATATATATATATATATATATATATATATATAATATATATATATATATATATATATATATATATATATATATATATATATTATATATATATATATATATATATATAATATATATTATATATATATAATATATAATTTTTTTTTTTCAACAAGTCGGTCGTCTCCCACCGAGGCAGGGTGATCCAAAAAAGAAAGAAAATCCCAAAAGAAAATACTTTCATCATTCAACACTTTCACCACACTCACACATTATCACTGCTTTTGCAGAGGTGCTCAGAATACAACAGTTTAGAAGCATATACGTATAAAGATACACAACATATCCCTCCAAACTGCCAATATCCCAAACCCCTCCTTTAAAGTGAAGGCATTGTACTTCCCATTTCCAGGACTCAAGTCCGACTATATGAAAATAACCGGTTTCCCTGAATCCCTTCACTAAATATTACCCTGCTCACACTCCAACAGATCGTCAGGTCCCAAGTATCATTCGTCTCCATTCAATCCTATCTAACACGCTCATGCACGCTTGCTGGAAGTCCAAGCCCCTCGCCCACAAAACCTCTTTACCCCTCTTTCCAACCCTTTCGAGGACGACCCTACCCCTCTTTCCTTCCCCTATAGATTTATATGCTTTCCATGTCATTCTACTTTGATCCATTCTCTCTAAATGACCAAACCACCTCAACAACCTCTCTTTTGCCCTCTGACTAATGCTTTTATTAACTCCACACCTTCTCCTAATTTCCACACTCCGAATTTCTGCATAATATTTATACCACACATTTACCCTTAGACAGGACATCTCCACTGCCTCCAACCTTCTCCTCGCTGCTTCATTTACCACCCAAGCTTCACATCCATATAAGAGTGTTGGTACTACTATACTTTCATACATTCCCTTCTTTGCCTCCATAGATAACGTTTTTTTACTCCACATATACCTCAACGCACCACTCACCTTTTTTCCCTCATCAATTCTATGATTAACCTCATCCTTCATAAATCCATCCGCCGACACGTCAACTCCCAAGTATCTGAAAACATTCACTTCTTCCATACTCCTCCTCCCCAATTTGATATCCAATTTTTCTTTATCTAATCATTTGATACCCTCATCACCTTACTCTTTTCTATGTTCACTTTCAACTTTCTACCTTTACACACATTCTCAAACTCATCCACTAACCTTTGCAATTTTTTCTTTAGAATCTCCCATAAGCACAGTATCATCACAAAAAGTACTGTGTCAATTCCCATTTTAATTTGATTCCCCATAATTTAATCCCACCCCTCTCCCGAACACCCTAGCATTTACTTCTTTTACAACCCCATCTATAAATATATTAAACAACCATGGTGACATTACACATCCCTGTCTAAGACCTACTTTTACCGGGAAGTATTCTCCCTCTCTTCTACACACCCTAACCTGAGGCTCACTATCCTCATAAAAGCTCTTTACAGCATTTAGTAACTTACCACCTATTCCATATACTTGCAACATCTGCCACATTGCTCCTCTATCCACTCTATCATATATCCACTCTATCATATATATATATATATATATATATATATATATATATATATATATATATATATAATATATATACATATATATATACGAGAGTGAGTGAGATGGTGTTGTTACAACAGGTAAAGCCCATTGTAAATTGCAATTTTAAGTTTGCTTGTTATAAGTATTTTCCTTTTGATATTTGCTCCATAAAATGCCAAATTTAAGCCTTTTATTGGACATTGTTCCCTGGAAGTTTTTACAATGCATGTCATGAGCCAAATTAGAAACTCGTCTTTTTTGTTTTCATTCATAATATATGTACAGAGAATCTTTATGCAGTTCGTATAATTGTTGAACATTTTCTCTGATAACTGTAAATAAGAGATTTAAAAGCGGACTGACCTTCAAGGAAAATTCCGGCTACTATTGGCTTATTCAATATTTGCTCATTTTTTCTTCAAAAATCTTTGACAAGAGTGTAGAAATAATCGAAGATATGTGGAGTCGTCGGGTTGTTAAATACGTGTTTATCTAACATCCGTTCGGCAAAGTTCCCATTAAATTGCATCCCATTTAACAGTAGTGTTAAATGTTGAATGTGAAATAACAGTTCTCAGGGCGTAATGAGATTTAGTAGTTATTCACTGTGTAATGGGATCAAAGAAACAGGGGTTGGGTTAGAATCCCATTTTCTGAACTCACTAATTGAAAGCATTCGAGCAAGTAGGGTTGCTTGTCATGTTAGCAACTTGTATGCAAATGAGTTCTAGTATGCAAATATTCTGTATGTTCCTTGCGTCCACCAAAAGGGCAATAAAAGTAATCATAATGTGTGTGTGTGTGTCTGTGTGTGTGTGTGCGCGCGTGCGCGCTTGTGTGTACTCACTTATATGTGGTTGCAGGGGTCGATTCACAGCACCTGGCCAGGCCTCTTCCCTCGTCACCAAGAGCCTTACAGTACCTCTTATTAAAGCTATGTTTCACTTCCTGACAACTCTAAGACTGAAGAAATATTTCCTAACATCCCTATGACTCATATGAGTTTTCAGCTTCCAGTTGTATACTCATGTTCCTGTATCCTATCTATGAATCATTCTGGATCTGCTCACCTTGTCAATTCCTCTCAGTATTTTATACATTGTTATCATAATATCCTATTCCTCCTGCCCTCCAGTGTCATCATGGTGAGTTCCCTTCACCTCTCCTCACAGGACATACTCCTTAACTCGGGAACTAGACTTGGTGCAAACGTTTGCACTTTACCTAATTTGTAGACATGCTTGATCAGGTGTAGGTTCCATAGTAGTGCTGCATACTCCAGTATGGGCCTGACGTACACACACAGTGTAGTGTCATGAATGACTCCTTTGTATGTGTGTGGAAGGGGTGTGTGTGTGTGTGTATGTATGTATGTATGTAATATATATATATATATATATATATATATATATATATATATATATATATATATATATATATATATATATATATATATATATATTTATGAGAGAGAGAGAGAGAGAAAGAGAAGAGAGGAAGTGTGAGAGTGAGAGACTTCTCGACAAAAGATGCTGTAAACCTCTGCGAGAGGCAAAAGTTGGGTCACATCATGAGAGTACAACACACTGCTGGACGGTTTACCCCCATAATCATCTCTGACAGCAGATTTCGACCTGGATGTACCTATTATTTCCGCAGATTATTTAAAAAGAAAAGCACTAAACCGGTGAGAGTCATCCTTTCAGTGCACACGGTCAGTGTTCTATAGGTTCTCCATCTTCCCCGTTAAACTAACCTCTTCCATCAGTATGGAGAAGCCTTGATGCTGGTAAAGGGATTTAAATCCAAAGAAATGGAGCTTCCATCCCTTTTTTTAAACCTGATTTCCTCCTGTTCCTCGGGAGTTTTATGCCTCCTGCTAGATTTTTTCTTCCCCATTTATATTAACAATGATTATGATAATCGTCATCACAATTTCTGTGGATGTTGTTGTAGGTTAGGGCAAACTATGTTAAAGTATGAACACAGAGAAAAGTCTGAGATCATGATGTCGTGTCCTTTTCTAGATGGAAAAACTTCGAAAATGATTACCTAAATAATTTTTTATCCTCGAAGGTAAAATGATACAAGTATCCTTCATGACGTCACGGCTTGATAAAGCTCCTGGAGACCGAAACGTTGCCACAATAAAATGCCACATTAGTTGCACTTGTGTCCTTTTACCTTTCTTAATGGTTTTAATCATCTTAGGAATATGATATCTTTTAGTTAACGTTGCACTGAAGCATATTTGTTGGGTACTACATAACCTAGAATGCATCTTCTGGTTGCTTTCAACTCTCAGCAGTGGTGGGTTTTTTTTTTTCCAAAGAAAACGGGCGTTTAATTTTTCTTAGTGTAAGTATAAATTTGCCAGTTTTATTAAACAATTTACCGTGCACTAATTAGAGAATGCCTTTTCTTATCGGTTTATAAACCTTAAATACTGGTGCATCTTTTAAGGGGAAAATATAGTAGTGCTTTTTCAAATGTGTTCGTTGCATTTTGAAAATTCTATTTAAACTAGAAAAAAAATGTTGGTTTTCTTGCTATGATTCGTAGATGTCTTATCTGATTATCTTCAAATTCGTGGATGTCTTATCTGATTATCTTCAAATTCGTGGATGTCTTATCTGATTATCTTCAAATTCGTGGATGTCTTATCTGATTATCTTCAAATTCGTAGATGTCTTATCTGATTATCTTCAAATTCGTGGATGTATTATCTGATTATCTTCAAATTCGTAGATGTCTTATCTGATTATCTTCAAATTCGTAGATGTCTTATCTGATTATCTTCAAATTCGTAGATGTCTTATCTGATTATCTTCAAATTCGTAGATGTCTTATCTGATTATCTTCAAATTCGTAGATGTCTTATCTGATTATCTTCAAATTCGTAGATGTCTTATCTGATTATCTTCAAATTCGTAGATGTCTTATCTGATTATCTTCAAATTCGTAGATGTCTTATCTGATTATCTTCAAATTCGTAGATGTCTTATCTGATTATCTTCAAATTCGTAGATGTCTTATCTGATTATCTTCAAATTCGTAGATGTCTTATCTGATTATCTTCAAATTCGTAGATGTCTTATCTGATTATCTTCAAATTCGTAGATGTCTTATCTGATTATCTTCAAATTCGTAGATGTCTTATCTGATTATCTTCAAATTCGTAGATGTCTTATCTGATTATCTTCAAATTCGTAGATGTCTTATCTGATTATCTTCAAATTCGTAGATGTCTTATCTGATTATCTTCAAATTCGTAGATGTCTTATCTGATTATCTTCAAATTCGTAGATGTCTTATCTGATTATCTTCAAATTCGTAGATGTCTTATCTGATTATCTTCAAATTCGTAGATGTCTTATCTGATTATCTTCAAATTCGTAGATGTCTTATCTGATTATGTTCAAAACTTCAATACTGATAACTTGATATTGCATCTCCCGAGAGTCTTCAAACTTGTGTATTTGGGATACTGGTTTCTGCGAAATAATTAGAGAATGTTTCTTCGGATTGGCTTTAAACTTATAAAGCTTCTATATCTTAGTGGAGAGTTTGAATTGGTTTTGTGCTCTGTAAGGGCCAATCTGCCATTCTTACTGAAGAAACTGAAATAGTTTCCGTGCGATAACTTGTAAAATCCTCTTCTGATTGGCTTTAGATCTTCGTTGCTAATACTGTATTAAAAACTTATCTGTACTCTGTAATATTCCCTTTGATGTAGAGAGGGTTGGGCTTTTGGGAGCCTGGGATGCCATGGACAGCGAAGCAACTAAACCACATTAATCGTCTGTTATGCAGGCGAAACGTGTCAGTAGTAAAGATACCTATTCATGCGCATGTGTCATAGAATAAATAGCCAGTTAGGACAGAGTTTCACTCTCTGAAAACCTTCATAAATCTTTTACAGAGCCGAACATTGTCGTCAATTTAAGATTACTCTGCAATATGCATTTTCGACTTTATCCGAGTCAGAAATGCGCCATTCGTTCATTTAGGGTGACGTAAATTAACCTGTATTAAAGTAAAGGCAAACGAACAATAATGAAATAACATAAACTGGTGCTACGTCTGGCAGCGCGTGACATGTCGTAGTCCCTTAGGTTTAAAACGTTGGCATCCCCACGCACGCTAAGTTGTAGGATGGATTAAGTCAGATGTAACAAAATATAACATTTATGCATATCGCTGGTATTTTATTGTTGAATCACCAACAGCCAAGTTGAACGGTGAGGCGCGAGCCTCCAGCACCGTAGCGACGTAGGTTGCTACTAGCGCACACTCAGCTCTCACACTGAGGTCCATGGTTCGATCCCCGGTACGGGTGGAAGCACTAGGGCGTGTTTCCTTAAGACACCTAATGTCCCTGTTTACCTATCAGTAAATAGGCACCTAGGAGTTAGCTGACTGGTGTGGGTCGCATCCTGGTGACAAAATTAACCACCTAATTTTCCCGAAATGCTCTGCATAACAAGGTGACTTTCTGTATAGTATATCATTGATGTCAACTGTGATCTATATACGTTGTACATGTACTTTCAGAAATTATCATTATTTTATTATTATTATTACTATTATTATTATTATTATTATTATTATTATTATTATTATTATTATTATTATTATTATTTATTATTATTACTATTATTATTATTATTATTATTATTATTATTTATTATTATTTTATTATTATTATTATGTAGTAGTAGTAGTAGTAGTTAGTAGTATTATTATACGAGTTTAGCGCCACACTATATTCAGTTCGACACAGTGTATAGGTTAAACAAGCAGAAGCTTCAATGAATTGTCAATATCATACTTGTCCCTTCGGCCACTCGGCGTGTAAATGGCTGTGATGTAATCCAGTCAAGGCTGAGGTAATTGTGTGTTCATCCGATCAGCTGCGAAGAATGCTTATGACGCGATGTCAGGGTTAATGACGCAGCTTCAGAGCTAATGACGCAACATCCGGGCTTGTGACGCAGCACCAGAACGTGTTATGAAGCAACAGGGCTTATGACGCAGAATCGAAGCAAAGACCATTGAATTTATCATCAGTGATAAACATTCATATATAAAATCGCAAAAATAAAAATTAAACCTCGATTACTAGCGGTAAAATGCTAACAAGAGGAAACGAAAATAATAAATGCATTTCGTTGCCTCAACGAGAATATCGTGGGTTTTGCGCAACGTTTAACTACAAATACGTAATAAATTTATTAAATGCAGTAGTGCCTATCGGTTTTGTAATAGAGTTGATAATATTGTAATCCAAATTCAATGCGTCTCTCGTTATATATTTACGATAATGTAACATTTTATGAATAGCAGATGAGGGATATCCGACAACAGATATACTTTTATATTAATATATATATATATATATATATATATATATATATATATATATATATATATATATATATATATATATATATATATATATATATATATATATATAATCGACGAACATGTGAGGAAACCGCAATAATGAGAAGAAAAAGACATAAACCGGGGGAAGACCAATAACAAAATAAAAAACAAGTTTGCATGAGGAAGATAAATAGTGAAGACAGAGCGAAGGTGGGGTGAGGGAAGGTTGTTGGACGCTGGGCAGTGATGATCAATAAATATGAGAGAGAGAGAGAGAGAGAGAGAGAGAGAGAGAGAGAGAGAGAGAGAGAGAGAGAGAGAGAGAGAGAGAGAGAGAGAGAGAGAGAGGAACGAAGAAACCAAGTACACACACACACACACGCACAAGTGCAAAGTCATGCAGATTGGGGAAGGGCAAAGAAGACCATAGACGGAGTACAGTCTAGGGGGCCAGAGCCTACAAACTTCACTCAAGGAAAAGAATCTTGGTATGAGTATAACACCAGGCACATCTCCTGAAGCGCACATCAATCAAATAACTGCCGCAGCATATGGGCGCCTAGCAAACCTAAGAACAGCATTCCGACATCTAAATAAGGGATCATTCAGGACCCTGTATACTGTGTACTTTAGGCCCATATTGGAATATGCAGCTCCAGTTTGAAACCCTCACCTAGACAAGCATGTAAGGAAACTAAAGAAAGTGCAAAGGTTTCCAACAAGACTAGTCACGGAGCTAAGGGGTATGTCCTACGAGGAGAGGTTAAGGGAAATCGACCTGACGACACTGGAAGACAGGAGAGTTGGGGAGGGGGATATGATAACGATTTATAAAATACTGAGAGGTATAGACAAGGTGGACAGAGATGGGATGTCCCGGAGATAGGACTCAGCAACGAGTGGTCACAGTTGGAAGCTGAAGACGCAGATGAACCACAGGGATGTTGGGAAGTATTTCTTCAGTCAGAGTTGTCAGGAAGTGGAATAGCCTGGGTAGTGATGTAGTGGAGGCAGGATCCATATATAAATTTAAGAAGAGGCACGATAAAGCTCACGGAGCGGGAAGAGTGACCGGGTAGTGACCAGGTGAAGAAGCGAGCCCAGGAGCTGTGAATCGAACCCCGCAACCACAACTAGGTGAGTACAAATAGGTGAGTACACACACAAACTTTTTGGAGTTTTATGATAAAGTAATAGAAGTAAGACACGAGAGAGAGGGGTGGGTTGATTGCATTTGCATGGATTGCAAAAAGGCCTTCGACACAGTTCCTCACAAGAGATTAGTGCAGAAGCTAGAGGATCAGGAGCGTATAACAGGAAGGGCACTGCAATGGATTAGAGAATACCTGACAGGAAGGCAACAACGAGTCATGGTACGTGATGAGGTATCACAGTGGGCACCTGTGACGATCGGGGTCCCACAGGGGTCCGTCCTAGGGCCAGTGCTATTTTTGGTATATGTGAATGACGTGATGGAAGGGATAGACTCACAAGTGTCCCTGTTGGCAGATGATGTGAAGTTAACTAGGAGAATTAAATACAGATGAGGATCAGGCAGGGCTTCAAAGAGACCTGCACAGGCTGGACACTTGGTCCAGCAACTGGCTTCTCGAATTTAACCCCGTCAAATGCAAAGTCATGAAGATCGGGGAAGGGCAAAGAAGACCTCAGGCAGAATATACGCTGGGGTGAGTATAACACCGAGCACGTCTCCGGAAGCACACATCAACCAGATACCTGCTGCAGCATATGGGCGCCTGGCAAACCTAAGAATAGCATTCCGATACCTTAGGAAACGCTCAAGACACTGTACATCGTGTACGTCAGGTCCCATACTGGAGTATGCAGCACCTGTTTGGAACCTACACCGGGTCAAGCACATCAAGAAATTATAGAAAATGCAAAGGTTTGCATCAAGATTAGTTCCAGAGCTAAGGGAAATGTCCTACGAAGAAAGGTTAAGGGAAATTGGACTGACGACACTGGAGGACAGGAGAGTTAGAGGAGACATGATAGCGACATACAAAATACTGCGTGGAATAGACAAGGTGGACAGAGACAGGATGTTCCAGAGAGGGAACACAGAAACAAGGGGTCACACTTAGATGTTGAAGACTCAGATAAGTCAGTGGGATGTTAGGAAGTATTTCTTCAGTCATAGAGTAAACAGGAAGTGGAATAGTCTAGCAAGTGTTGTAGTGGAGGCAGGAACCATACGTAGCTTTAAGACGAGGTATGATAAAGCTCATGGAGCAGGGAGAGAGAGGACTTAGTAGCGTTCAGTGAAGAGGCGGGGCGTAATTTAAACTACTGGAATAATTCGCATTACAGAGTAAAAGATATCAGAAATGCTTTCAGTTTGGTTAGAAACCGACTTCAGCCTAACGCTAGAAAACTAGGATAGCCATTTTATATGCAAATATTTTAGGTGCACAGCGCAGCTGGACGCACAAAAAAAGGAGCACTACAGCAGGCCTATTGGTTCATTCTGCCCGACAAAAAGACAACGAACCTCACTCCTTTCACTGTGTTTGTCGAATACAGAAGCGCAGAGCAAGGTCTTGCTGTGACTACGTTTCCCTCTGACTAAACGTTTGTGAAAAACACGACATAAATCGAAACTTTCCCACAAAACAAAACTTATTTTCCCTCAAAACTTATTTTCCCACAAAACAAAACTTATTTTCCCTCAAAAGATATTTACCCACAAAACAAAACTTATTTTCCCTCAAAACTTATTTTCCCACAAAACAAAACTTATTGATCATTGTTTTAGTTAATGGTCTTTCAACGTCTTGTCAGACTGTAGAACGAAAAAAAAAGCTTAGTATAGACTCTAATGGGCTTAAAGTATTCCTAAAACACGTGCCGGAAAAAAAAAATCAATAGAATGCGATTAATCACACTGTGTGTGTATATAAATAAACTAAAGTTAATGGGCTAGAAAAACGAAAATTTGATCAGTTTTTTTTTTTTTTATACTGGAACCTGGTTTAAAATATATTGTATTACAAAATAATTTAACAAATGCAAGGAATTATTATTATTTTTTTTTAAATTAGTCAAGTCTAAACGATAGTTTGTGTCTTTAGATGAATATATAATAAACTGGACAAATAAATACATCTCGGTGATTAAGATCATTCATTAGAGAGAGAGAGAGAGAGAGAGAGAGAGAGAGAGAGAGAGAAAGAGAGAGAGAAAGAGAGAGAGAAAGAGAGAGAGAGAGAGAGAGAGAGGAGATTTTGCAACAAAATAGTTAAAATGGAGGAACGAGAGAAAAACAGGAAACTACAAAGTGTTATACAACTGGTAACGTAAAGAAAATATAGGATTAAAGAGGTGGAAAATAATAGCAACGAGAAATATGAAAGGAAAACGAAATCCCCCCACCTTCCTGTTCACACTGTAAGGCTTATCAACACAGAGCTCTCTCCTCTCTCTCTCTCTCTCTCTCTCTCTCTCTCTCTCTCTCTCTGCGTCTCCTATTCCTCCTTTCCCCACCTCTCTCGCTTGTTCCTAACACACTTTGCTGATCCTTCTCCCCTCTCTTTTCCACCCAGCTATTTCCTCCCCTCCGTGCCTTCTGTTCTCCTCCCTGCCTTCTGTTCTCCCTACCTTCTGTTCTCCTCCCTGCCTTCTGTTCTCCCTACCTTCTGTTCTCCTCCCTGCCTTCTGCTTCCCTCCCTGTCTTCTGCTTCCCTCCCTGCCTTCTGCTTCCCTCCCTGTCTTCTGCTTCCCTCCCTGTCTTCTGCTTCCCTCCCTGTCTTCTGTTTCCCTCCCTGTCTTCTGCTTTCCTCCCTGCCTTCTGCTTCCCTCCCTGTCTTCTCCTTAACCTCACTTGTCCACGTACAATATTGCCCAAGAGAACGAGGTCTGGCCCGGCGATTCAGGTAACTTTTAATACACTTCCCGTCGCTCTTGTCCGC